GTAACAGTGCAGTGCCCTAGAGGAGGAGGGGGTGGAGAGGAGAGAAGGGAAAGCAAGAAGAAGGGAGGAGCTGCACTATACTGCCCTGAGGAAAGCTCTGACTGTGTGTGGGTGAAGACAGGTGTTATCAAAGTTTGGAGTTTCTACATTTAATCTTCTGTTTTTGTGCGTATTTGTTTTGTTTTTTTTTGTGTTTTTTTGGTGAGGTGATTTTAAGGTGATGCTTAAAGGTTAAATCTGTTTTTCATCATGCCAAAAATAAAGATCAGAGCAAGTCAGATTAGATGGAATTAAATGGAGCATCATTACATTGTACATAAGTGGATAAATTTTCTTTCTATGTTGTATAGAACGTGAGTATTCCGATTTTAGGTGCTCAGTTTTAAGGTCAGTATGATTTTGTTGAATTAATTAGTATTTGTATTCAGTAAGGATGCATTAAATTGAACAAAAGTGACATTAAAGACATGGTTTACACAACTTTTTAACATTCTTTTTTAAACAGCAAATCGTCGTTATATTGATTTCTGAAGGATCATGCGACACTGAAGACTGGAGTAATGATGCTGAAAATTCACAGGAATAAATTCAAATTATTTAAAATTGTAATATTTCACAATATTACTGTTTTTACTGATCCAATAAATGCAGCCCGTAAGCATAAAGATTTTTAAAAAATATTAAATGCAAGTATATCATTTTCTTATCTTTCATTTGATGCCGATCCCTGTTTTAGACTCGAAACAGTCCTGCTGTAAATTATTTTCAGTTAAGCTTTTTGAAATGTTTGACTGATACTATGAATTGAAAACATTCTACATTGTGCATGCTTCCACCTGAATATGCATAATTCGGTTACATTTAAGACAATCTCAATCTCTCTCATTAAGATTGGTGTCCTAGTCCTGGTATTTTAAAACAGTAAATCAGCTCTTTTGAGGACAGCCTGTTGAACAATCTCTCTGTCTTTCACTGTGCCAGGGTATACAGTATGTTGGCAGGGCTGATAAAGGAATACATGGAGTCTGAATCCCTCTGTAATTTGAGCAATGCAGTTCTGTCTACCATTTCTACACACCATCTGCTGCAGCCGTACAGTAGCTCTGCTGTGTTTTGCTGTATCTTGTACTCTAAGGTTAAAGTATAACGCAGCAGAACAATGCAATGGGAGATTTCCATCTCTCATTCTGAATACAGGCAACAGCAGTGTCAAACAAGGTGAAACTTGTAAATTCACCCTGTTATTAACAAGAGAATTATGTAGTGTGAAAAGCATGGCGAGTGTCAGTTTCTCATCTGGAATTGTGGGTTCAAATATAACAGTTTCTATATGTCAATGTTAAAATATCAGTGATTTAAAATAAAACTCGAGAAAGGGAAGCTTTCCTATAATGTTTGGAGGTTATATTGGCATTATGTTGTCTGAATTGGCTACATTAAAATCTCTATAGCATTAAAAGCTAACATTTGGACATTAGCACTGAAAACAGCTCCATATAAAATACTTTTTTTTACACCCAATGACAGAGCGCATGTTGTATTTCTTATGACTAGACCATGTGACGGTGTATTGGAGCTAAATAAAAATCCCCTGAAATTTTTATCAGGATGTGGAAGGACCAGGTCCCAAAGTTTTATTTAGGGTTTAGTGATGGCGTATGTGTTTTCAAATGAAATGAAACATCAACAAAAAGTAAAACATTTATTACATATAAGGTTGTACAGTTATAGCAATGATTAGAAGCATTTTTCCTTCTACCACAAGTAGGCTTGGCAACGGTTCAATCAATCAGACCTCCTCGACAAAAGCTGTAGAATATGCCCACTCTCTTTTCCCACACAATGATCTCACAAAGAAAATCAATTCTTCTTCCATTGCCTGTAGAATGGTCAAACACTTTCCATCACTTCCTCCCTTACCAATCACACTGCACAATTACCCAATTATCCTGATTCCTAAATGACAGCCATGACTGATTTAGGTGAATTTGACCTCCACATGGGGCTCCACCTATTTTTTACAGTCTATGGGCTCCACCTGTTTGATTTGTGTTTTCAAAAAGATTTCAAAAAATGGTTTTGAAAAGAAATTAATACATTTATTCAGCAAGGATGCATTAAACTGATCAAAAGTGACGGTAAAGGACATTTGTTTTTACATTTTTTTTTTTTTTTTACTTTCGGCTCATCAAAGTATCATGAAAACATACATCATGGCTTCTTTCTAAGATTAAGCATCACAACTGTTTTCAACATTATTTTAAAATATTTTGAACTTTTAAATGTAATAACACACTTATTTTCAAGCTTTATTGCTGTAATATGTAAAAATGTTGCTATGGTTATCACCATGGCAACCCATCACAGGTTTCGGCTAGTGCACTACACTACACACTACTCACAAAACTTTGCTGTTTGTCCACAAATAATAACGTTGTTAAATTTTTCCAAAACTATTTTTTATTACTCATTTTAGGTGGACATAAGCACAATTTAAGCAGATATATTATAAGTATCAGCTAAGAAATATTTAGAATGGGGGAATGTTAGAACCTGATTCTTAGTTTTTATATGCCAGTCATATACTGTATATCTGAATATCTGAAAAATATATGAATTTATATATGCCAGTCATATATATATATATAAATACAAACCATATGTATTTGGCAAAAGTATTTTGCCTTTTGCTATGCTGTTCTGCTCGCACGCATTATTTATATAACCGTTAATGTATACAATACATGTGGAAGGAGAGCGTATGTACATTAAGGATCTTTATGGCATCATCTTGTCTCTTTGAATAACATCAAATCTCTGTGTTGGACCGCAGGCCACTGTTTATACATGTGTGTGTCATAAGGTCATTGGCAAGGTCTGAATATATACTCTTCCAGCACCCCAAAGGGACAAACAAAATCATGACGTTACTGTTTAGCTCAATGTGGACTGACATGTGAACCTTAAATAACCATTACTTTTACATTTTGCAGGACATCTCCTTGCTTGAAACCACAATCCACCCATCATACATTTAAGTAATTTATAAGCTAAGATCGGCAGAGCAGACAGACCCAGGCTTTGTGGCCTGTTGTGTGGTTTGTAAACCTGTTACTGGTCAGTAGTCGTGTGCTTGAGTCACCGTGATAGACAGACTTCACTGTGATCTGTCTTCCTGCAGACAGTTAAGACATGGGATGAACGAGAGAGAGTATCATTACTGCTAAGAGAAACCATCAAAATCCTTCAAAGTGACAGGATTGGTGTGTTAAATCGGAAGGAACTGGGCTAGTGGTGAAAGAGAGGAAGAAAGGACTGTAAAATGAGGTGAAAAAAATGTGTTGGTTTGATATAGAGAAGATCAGAGGAGAAAGAATGTCAGATAGGAAATGAAACCGATGAAAGCAGGAATGGGTTTCGTTCTTTGCCTGTTCCTATTTGGCTGCACACCAGGGCTCATCAGCAGAGTTTATTGGTGTTTAACATGGGTCTTCTTGATGTTATCTCCAGCTTCTTCCTATCAAGAGGCCCTCAAGATATCAAATCAACACAGTCGAACAAAACGGCATTACATTTAGTGCCACCTAAAAACGCTTATTTTTCATATTTATTGCATTTTTTTGAACTGTTTTATCAGGATGGACCGAAAATGAATGATTCATGAAATATCACTGCAGCTAGCAGGCATTTATAAAGAAGGTCTCTTGTTTGAATGATGGACGCAGATGCCATAAACAATTGTGAAAATCTGATAATAATATGCTAATTTTCTGTTCTTTTTCAAATCTACGAATGGCTTTGAATCGACTGAGACATTGTTTGGATATAAATGATTTGCTCGATGATTTCTCTGAAAAAAGTGTCATTTAGCCTGACAGATATACCCAATACTGAGTTCTTATCTGTTTTTTTTTTTGTGACCCACAATGGCGGCAAAATATTGTGCTATGTTTTACATTGTAGAAAGCATCCATTCATCTGTTAAACTAAGCTAACAGGCCTTTCTTTTACAAACATTAGTGAATAACTGATGGAAAGAGGCAAGAGCCCCTCCATCCCGCTCCGAGGGCTATCTTGCCTCTTGCATTAGTGTTTAATCGGGCGGTATTAAATGTAACTCTTGTGAATATGGCAGCACATTTCCTTTAGGCTAGCATGAAGAGGCTTTTACCACGACAAATGTTTAGTCGACAGCATTAGATTTGCTTCAAAATGTGAATGAAACATACTTGAACAACAGCAAATGCATATCTTTGGGAGAATTCACAGGATGATACCCAATGGTTTTGTGTTAGTAATAAAAAAAATCACTGGAAGGGCCGTTCAGATTTTATACGACTAGACAGGTGCAAAATGCATAATTTTGTCAGTAGTAGTAATATATACGTTCTGCATATTAGAAATGGATAACATAAAACAGTATTTCACAGCTAGTGCGAAATATATATTAGATATATGAATATTATTTATTCAACAATTATATGAATGTTACTTTTTAATAATGCATTTACAGATGTGATAATATATCTATATGTATTATTATTAAATATTAATATTTTTTGTATAGCTACTTTACCATTCAAAAATGTGGGATTTGTGTGATTTTTTTATGTTTCTGAAAGTATACCTTATGCTCACCATGGCTGCATTTATTTGATCAAAAATACAGTAAAAAATAGTAAAATTGTGAAATATTTATAAAAATGTTTAATAATTTAATATATTTTAAATTGTATTTAATTCCTGTGATAGTAAATCTGAATTTTCAGTATCTTCAGTGTCACATGATCCTTCAGAAATCATTCTAATATTCTGATTTGCTGCTCAAAAAAGATTTCTGATTATTATCAATGTTAAAACAGTTGTCCTGCTTAATGCATTTGTGGGAACTGGGATATATGGTTTTTTTTTGTTTGTTTTTTCAGAAATCTTTGATGAATTTAAAAGTTTGAAAAAAAACTTTTATTACAGTATGAGGCAAGCTTAAGCATGACCGTTGCTTCACCTTCACCCTCACTGATCATGTGGAAACATCTAGTAATAATGCTCCTCTGAAAGACAGTGAACATCTCAGCTGGTTTCTGTGTGACCTCCTATACAACAAGGCCATCTCCCAAAGCTTCTTTAGACCCTCCATCCTCCTCAGAGTATCAGCCCCATATCTCGAAGCCCTTTTTATCCATATCCTGCCTCCAGGATGAGTGGGCTTTTCGGCAAACTGGACCCACGGCGGATTCAGTGGGGGTCCACCTGGTTTGCCTTCCAGTCCCGCATTCTGCGCACGAAACCGGTGGAGTCCATGCTGGAGAGCTCAGGTGGCACGGGGGCTCATGGCACCAAACTCGCCCGCGTTCTCTCCACCGTGGACCTTGTGTCTCTGGGAGTGGGAAGCTGTGTAGGCACGGGCATGTACGTGGTTTCTGGACTGGTGGCTAAGGAAATGGCGGGTCCTGGGGTCATTGTGTCTTTCATCATCGCTGCCGTGGCCTCCATCCTGTCAGGTGAGTGCCGCCCCAACTTCCTGTTCCAGTCAATCTGACACAAAAGAGAAAAACACAGAAAAAAAAAAGGTCTGTCATATTCCTCTAAACCTTCCCCCAGTGAAACGTGGTCTAGAGTTATTGTACTAAGGGTAACGTCATTTTTTACTCATTGATCCTGAGTCAGTCTAAAGCTTAGTGTATAACTTTATGCCTCCTGACGTGTGGTGATGACGCATGGTGAACTGGCTCATTAGATTTACAGGTTGGAGCTGTGCACAGCATGCAGCAACCAAAATAGAGTTTGGGGAGGAAAATCCATTTAGTTTTCCCTGTGGAGACTAACATAAAGTACCCAAAAATGAAGGGAATATTTTGTTCCTGTATGCAGCTGACTCTTCTACCCATGGAAACAGAAACAGAGTTCAATATTGAAACCACTTATAATTACACCCTTGGTCAATATTAGCTAAACGGGCCATGAGAAAAAAATTTCTTTCGTTCAAAATGTTCATTAAAATCAAACCTATATTTAAAGTAAAATGTATTTAGAGTAAATTCTTGACTTCCATATGTGCCACAGATAATATGCATTCCTGTTTAAAGGTTTGGGGTCTGTAAGATTTTTTTATGTTTTTGGAATAAGCATCTTAAGTTCACCAAGGCTGCATTTGATCAAAAAAGCAACAACAATAAAAACAGTAATTTTGTGAAATATAATTACAATTTAAAACAACTGTTTTCTATTTTAATATAGTTTAAAACGTATCCTGTGATGGTAAGGCTGAATTTTCAGCATCATTACTCTAGTCTTCAGTGTTACATGATCCTTCAGAAATCATTGTAATATGATTTTCTGCTCAAGATAAAACAGTTGTGCTGTTTAATATTTTGTGGAAACTGCCCTTTTTTAATAGAAAGTAAAAAAATTATAGCATTTATTTAAATCATAAATATTTTGCAACATTATAAAAGTTTACTTTTGACCAATGTATTACATCTTAGTTGAATAAATGTATACATTCATTTTTTTTTGTGAACGGCAGGGGACAAATGAACAAAAATCCTGTTAGAATCTCAATAAAAGTCTTTAGCCTTTCCAAGAAACGGATATATAACATTAAGTCAATATGAAATTGAAATGAACCCTATTTACTTTCCTAAAGCATGTTCCTGGTTTTATTGTGATTCATTCATCTGTTACAAAGAAAAACACATCACTGACTCCATTCTGGTATGAAACAGTGACTTTTCTCCATCCAATGAATTCTCAGTAAATTAATTCAAGTGCCATTGTTTATTTGACCATGTATTATTCAGAAATACATTACATTATGTCAACTTCGCAGTTTATGTACTGCTCTTTAGCACTGGTGTTAGAAAGTACATATTAGTTTGGAATGTAAAAACAGATAATCCTTATCTTTTTTTCCACTATAGTGGGGTTTACAGGGATCCAGTCTGTAAAGAGGGATTTTACTCCTGTTATCTGGCCCTCTGGGATTCTATGTTTGACATTTGAGAATTGATCTGACACTCCAGTCCCCAAAAAAATCAATGATTCCATCTCAGCAACCAGTTAGAGCCAACACGTTCATGCTTTTATTGATAACCTTCAGGAGTACAGGTGTTACAGTAATCATTGTTATCTCTCCACAGGGGTGTGCTATGCTGAATTTGGTGTGCGTGTGCCTAAAACCACAGGATCTGCCTATACTTATAGCTATGTGACGGTGGGCGAATTTGTGGCTTTTTTCATTGGCTGGAATCTGATTTTGGAGTATCTGATTGGTACAGCAGCAGGAGCCAGTGCACTCAGCAGCATGTTTGACTCGCTGGCCAATCACAGCATCAGTGGCTTCATGATCAAACATGTAGGAACACTCAACGGACTGGGTGAGTGACATGAACTTTAGACACTGTTATGTTTATGTTTAGAAAATAATCATCAATTTCTGGGACCCCCATTAATCTCAATACTGCAACAAGGAAATCTTTATTTCACATAAAAAACCATGGCAGCCTACTATTATTCATTTTAGATTTTATGTCACTAAATGTTGCAGTTTGAACTGAACTGAACTGACACACTAATGGTGTGACACACACCCACAGTAATTACAAAAGAAGTTACAGTCGGCTTCATTTATCAGTAGATAATGGTGCTGCAGAAAAGAATAGGCACTTTGGCAGTCAATAGTCTGGTGACAATGACAATGTTAAGAAAGCTTGTTAAAAAAAACTGTTTCTGTGTTGCACTGTGAAACAGCTGCTCCAATTATATTTCTGAAGAGGAAAAGCACTTTCATAGGTTGGGCATTTGCTATTAAAAATAGGGTAGAAATATTTTCAAAGCAGATATGATTTGAAGCAAATTCTAGATCTTGACATTTAGTTATACTAAATATTCATGTGAAAAATGCTTTTTCTATGTATCTTGATTCCTGAATTATGAAATATCTTGATTATACACTTTAATGAATGGTACCTTTTAGAAAATGTTTATTCTGTCAGGACTACTATTTTCAAAGATGATACAGTTTGGATTGGTGGAATGGTTCTGGGCATGAACTCGTGGAGGGCAGCAATAACTCACCTTAGGGTAAACTGAACAGAACCAACATAAATGTATTGCAGATAGTATTAATGTTGTGTACAGTATGATTTAAGAAAAAAAAATAGTCTGATGCGAAGAGGAATATCAGAAGGCCAAGTCCTGACTGGATGAGAGGAGGAGCTGGGGATGGAGGAGGGTAATTAGCTGCTGATAATTCTTATGTATAGGAATGCTGTGATAGGCATCGTATTCATAAAGGTATATGACGTGATGTCCTAGATGTGGATCAGCTGAGTCAGCTGATGCGAGCTTGACTGACGTGACCTGCCGAAACTAACGCTACGCCTGATTATTGTTTCACACATAATATTGCAAAATTTTTATTAGTTGGTTACAGTCATGAAAACAAATTATCTATTGTTATTTTTATATCAAATACTTTTTCCTCACATTGTAAATTTATAGCTGCCTTTATATTTTCGGAAGGGTACATTTTGGGGTCCTTCGCATCAAAACCTTATACTCAAAAAGACACACCATCTACTGTCAATCCTCAAACTACAGATGGAGGAATAAAATAAGGGTATTTGGGAAATGTAAAAAGGATGCTATTTGTTTTCTGCTCAGCGTCTTTGGTTTGCAGACAGACATTACAAATAGACTATTGTGTCTGACCCAGACAAAACATGACATTTTGTGCCAAAATACATAACCATACTGGGCCAACAGCAGTAAAATGTCTTTTTCTTTAACCAACCCCTTTCTCTAAGAGCCTAATATCCCTCCATCTGTGTCTCTCTGCGCACATTATGGTTCATAGTCATTCCGCGTAAGGCCTAGTTTGTATGTTGAATATGTTTAGAAATACATCATTTATTCATGACTGCATTGAGGGGTCAAAAGAGGACTATCTTTTGACATGTTGTGAAAAACAAATATCTAGACTTACTACTGTCATCTGAGAGACATCTATCTATCTATCTATCTATCTATCTATCTATCTATCTATCTATCTATCTATCTATCTATCTATCTATCTATCTATCTATCTATCTATCTATCTATCTATCTATCTATCTATCTCTATCTATCTCTATCTATCTATCTATCTATCTATCTATCTATCTATCTATCTATCTAAAACTTTTGTATATTATTTTGTAACCAAAATTGGCTCAACACATTCCTTTTTTGTTATGTTTCAAAATCCATCTGATGTGAATTCCTCGTTTATCACCTCTCAGGTAAAGGGGAACAGTCGTATCCAGACTTCTTGGCCCTGGTCATAGCTATCCTGGTCACAGTAATAGTCGCTCTGGGTGTGAAGAATTCTGTCGGGTTCAACAACGTGCTGAATGTCATCAATTTGGTGGTGTGGGTGTTCATAATGATTGCAGGCCTGTTCTTCGTCAGTGTAAGCAACTGGGATGAGGGACGATTCCTGCCTTATGGCTGGTCAGGGGTAAAGAATATTTCTAATCAATTATTGAAGTTCAAATCATATATTACTGTAACAAACAATGAAGAGAATATTGCATTGTCTTGTAGCTATAATCGACCACTCTGTCCAACAGGTCATGCAGGGTGCAGCCACTTGCTTCTATGCTTTTATTGGGTTCGACATCATAGCCACTACGGGAGAAGAAGCCAAAAGTCCCAACACATCTATCCCCTATGCCATCACTGCCTCTCTGGTCACCTGCCTCACTGCCTATGTCTCTGTGAGTATATAGCATTAACCATTTGTACGTTTGTTTCTCATTTTGGGTTCATACGCAATACCCAAGACCACATTGGAAATCTGGGATTTTTGAAATCTGAAAATTGTACATGTTACTATCCTTTGGCTGTTTTGATTGTCCATGTAACACTCAAGTTTGTTAATTTTCATCGTTAAGTGTGATGCTGACTTGAGTCAGGTGATAAAGGTTTTATTAAGTTTGGTATGTCATTCACAGTCTGTTTATTTATACTTAAACTTCCCTTTTGTTGGGGAACTCCTAGGTCTCGTCGTTGTCCCCTTTAGCTCGGGAACCCTAGTCCTGCATGCCAATATTCATTGGCTCGTTTTAGATCCCTCAAAATCCCAATTCAATGAAAACTCCTCTGACAAGGCGTCTCTGTTCTCTTCTCAGGGAATGAGGGTTACCATAGGTAACCGATTCGTTCTCCTTTTAAGAATAAAAATGATGCATGGCAAAAAATGATCTACTGTAGCATAACTTTGTCCCTTTCTTTGTGTTCACACAGACAGTCATTGATTATTCTCTTCATGCAGCATGTCTGAATATATTAAAAGCTCTCCAGCTTTATCACCATGCTATGCTGTCTGTCTGTAGCTAGGAGGTTGTCATAGAAACGCAATGGGTGTTAACACACCGACAGACCTCGTTCCTGTATCTCAGGAAAAATATTCTATACATTTTATTTATATTTTCTCTGTTTTCTGCTATTTGATCTTCTTTTATTCTTTATCTCTCTAATTTTTCTCATGTCTGTTTTGGATTTAGCTGAAACAAATTTGCCTTTACTAAAATGGCTCTTCATTTTAACACCTACAGGACTGTATGATGAGAAGCAAACTTGTTAATTAGCAGCTTTCACCCCTCCAGATCTCATTTTGTTGTCACAGAGGCTAATTTTAGACCAGACACTTCTGTCTGTGTTTGTGTGGATATGTGTGTGTTTCTGTTGCATTTTCTGAAATGCTTTAAATGTGCCATAATGTATAATGGTTAATCAAAGAATTCTTGATCTTTTGATTCAAAAGAGTCCATTGTACTATGAAAACAGATTATAACTTTGAGAACCCAATGCTTTCTACCCAGCAAAAATTAACCATTTATTAAAAGTAAACAGTAAAAACAACTTGTTCTGTACATTTGCAACTTTATAACACCGGATATTAGAAAACATAATCACACCAATGATGCCATTAGGTGTTCAGAAAATTTAGGATAAATTTTAAGATGCATTCTTAAAGCTCAGTAAAAAATAAATAAAAATAAACTGTTTAATTGTAAGGTCAATAAATCACACTCTGTTTCATCCTCTCTCACAGGTGAGTGTGATCCTCACCCTGATGGTCCCTTACACTGAAATTGACACAGATGCTCCTCTGATGGAAATGTTTTCTCTTCATGGCTTCCAAACTGCCAAATACATAGTGGCCATCGGCTCCATTGCAGGACTGACAGTCAGTTTGTTGGGCTCTCTTTTCCCACTGCCGAGAGTCATCTACGCCATGGCAGGAGATGGTTTGCTCTTCAGGTACTGTAAAACGAATTAAAAAAAGACTAACTGCAGGGTCAAGTAATTATGATTCACGATGCTGTTTAATGCTGTATGTCTCCATTATTGCAAATGATTCAAATGCCCTTTAAATATCATTCTCTGCTGGAGAAATAGGCTCCTGTCATGCAGTTTCAAAAGAAATGCCCTGACATTTAAAATCAAAGCTAGTATAATGGATATGTGGTAAGACTTTGATAAATTGAATGTTTGGATGTTTCATCCCTGTTTACACATGGTATGAACATCTGTACACCCGTCACGTGTTCAAAAGTGGTCAGGCAAGATACACTGGCATTTACACTTGGAAGTAAGATCTCTCAAAGCGTCTCAAATGCATCTCATGTCAACACTCGTCATCAGATTTCAAAGGGAGGGTCGTCCCCTTTAAAAAGCATGAAAAAGTATTTAAAAATTATAAAAGACTACAAAAAAGTACATTCACATTTTAATCTCAGTTTTGAGCAGAAAAACTTTTTTAGTGGAATACCTGTAGAAAATGTGCTTCACATAATGCTGCCACTACAATTCGAAAGTTTTGGGTCGGTAATATTTTTTAATGATTTTGTCTGTTATGCTCACCAAGGCTGCAATCAAACAGTAATATTGTGAAATGTTACAATTTAAAAGAACTGTTTTCGAGCTTTATATACTTCATTAATCAATTTATTACTGTGATGGCCAAGCAATATTTTTAGCAGTCTGATTTGGTGCTCAGCAAATTTTTCATATTATTTTCAATGTTAAAAACAGTTCTGCTGCTTGAGACTTATTTCAGGATTTATTGATAAATCGAAAGTTAAAAAAAACTATTGAACTGTTATTTTTACATTTATTTGAAATAGACTTGTTTTGTAACATAATAAATGTCTTTACTCTCCCTTTAAATCCATTTAGTGCATCCTTGCTGAATAAAAGTGTTTGTTTCTTAAAAAAAATCTTACTGACCCAAACTTATACTCTATAAATGCATTTTTCCACAATGTTTATTGAGACAGTAATTTTCTAGCCACACATATCTGACAAAATATAAAACTTGTTTTAGTCCATCTCGTTGATTGACAGTAGTCAAGTCTTTTTAGGTGTCAGGAGGGATTAGCTTCACACTTCCAATCTATGTGCTTTTTTTGACCTTATCCAAATTCTGTTTGGACCCCATTTGTGCCTGTATATAGCTCTGCCCTCTTGTGATTGGAGGACTGAAGGTGTCATGTGCACAACCTGTATGTTTCAGGTTCCTGGCTAATGTGAGCACGTACACGGAGACTCCTGCAGTGGCCTGTGTGGTGTCGGGGTTCCTCTCTGCTCTCTTGGCTTTGCTCGTCAGTCTGAGGGACCTGATCGAGATGATGTCCATCGGCACTCTGCTAGCCTACACGCTCGTGTCGGTGTGTGTGCTTCTGCTGCGTTACCAGCCTGAAGGAGACATCCACGGATTCGTCAACTTCCTCTCCGAGCAGAACTCGAAACGTAAGGAGGGGGTGCTGGCCGAGTGCGAGAAGGAAGCCTGCTCGCCGGTCAGTGAGGGTGATGATTATGGAGGAGCCGCCACGAACACCTGCGGAGCCAAGAACCTGCCGTCTCTGGGAGACAACGAGATGCTGATTGGTAAGCCTGACAAGTCCACCTACACTGCCAGTCACCCCAACTACGGCACCGTGGACATGTCGTCAGGCATTGAGTCAGATGAGACGGACAGCGTGTACCTTCTGAAGCTGAAGAAGCTGCTGGGGCCTCGCTATTACACCATGCGCATTCGGCTCGGCCTGCCGGGCAAGATGGACCGGCCCACTGTGGTCACCGGCCGGGTCGTCACTCGCTGCGTCATTCTGCTCTTCATCCTCATCTTCTGCTTCTGCTCCCTCATCATCTTCGGGTCAGGTCAGATAGCTGACGGCCAGTGGTGGGCCGTGCTGCTACTGGTGCTGCTGCTTCTGGTCATCACGCTCTTGATCTTCATCATCATTCAGCAGCCGGAGAACCCTAAGCGCCTGCCCTACATGGCTCCCTGCGTTCCCTTTGTCCCGGCCTCTGCCATGCTTGTAAACATTTACCTTATGCTCAAGCTCTCCACTATCACATGGATCCGTTTTGGCGTATGGTGCTTCGTGGGTGAGTTTCGATATTAATTTAAATGGGCGTGTTGATACAGGCAGCATCTTATTGACATGGGTCATTCCTGAAATGCAGGGTGGTTTCATTTACTGTATACCATTCAAACTTAAGGTTAGGGTCAGTAACCGAAACTTTATTCAGCTTCATCAAGTGACTGTAAAGACATTATAATGTTACAAAAGGTTTATTTTCCAAATAATTTCAGAATCCTGAAAAAATGTATCACACAAATATTACCGTAATGTTACTGTTTTCAACATTGATAATAATAGGAAATGTTTTTTTAAGCAATAAATAAGCATTTCACAAGTTCACACTTCACAAATCAGTCGGATAGATTAATTGGTAAACGTATTTGGCGTGCTGTCTGGGGAGAGGGCTCTGATCTTGGTAATTGGCCCGAACGCAGAGTATTCCCCTAGGTTTTGGAAGTGACCTGGAGAGTCTGATGAGACGGGGTGTGAGTTTTGACTGTGCTTATATATGGTTTGCCTTCGTGCTGATTGGGTAAATATGTTTACTGATTGTAGACAGCTGGTGATACTAGTATTTGTGATTACTGATTGGGTAGATATGTTTACTGATTGTAGAAAGCTGGAAACACTAGAGTAGCTCATTTTGACAGGTTCCTCCCGAACTACGTTAATAAAACATAATTAAAATCATTTCTGAAGGATCACAGGAATAAATTACATTTTAAAATATATTAAAATACGAAACATTTATTTTAAATTGTAATAATATTTCACATTACAGTTTTTACTGCGTTTTTTAATCAAATAAATGCAGCCTTTTGGCGAATGTTTTCTTTCAAAAACATTTAAAAACAAAGTCTATACTTTTGAACAGTTGTATTAAACTCAAAAACTTTGAATGACCATTGACTAAATTTAATAGATTTCTAAATAATATAATACATATTGCAAGTGATTATTATTTTTCCTTTGCCTAATTGAAATTTTTAAAACAAAAATGTAAATATGGTTTTAATTGGTGATCAGTGTATTGTTTTTGCGTTCTAAATAACTTTTATAAAAAAAAAACATATATATAAATATATATATGTTTTCAAAATGTAAATTTTTTGCCATTGTGTAAATAATAATGTTATCATTAACTAAGTTTAATTTCTGGAGCTTAACCAGAGCATATTTCTGAAAGTATAGTAAAAATGACAACCTTAATCCTTAAATGACAACACAATCATATTGATTTTACAATAAAATTTTACAGTTCTAAACTATTGCATGACAGGAATGACCCACATGCTCTCCACTTTCAATCGTTTGCTGTGTTTTTTTATGTTTCTTTTGTCAATGAACTGAGGGAAAGCACTGATCAATTACATCTGTGCATTCGTTTATGGATGTGTGTGCACTGTTTGTGTTGTCTCTGTGTATTCGTCTCTGCAGGTGTTTTGATCTATTTCGGCTACGGCATGTGGAACAGCACCCTAGAGATCACGGCGCGAGAGGAGGAAGCCCATGCTAGCACATACCAGCGCTATGACGTGGGCGTGGACGACAACTTTGCAGTGGATGACGATCTATACCCTTCAGGAGATGGAGGGCCATACCAAAGCTTGGGCTCCCATGAGGGCAGAGGTGGGCAACAGAAACAGCAGGAGCAGAGTGAGCCTCGGCTTGACGGCCAGGACAGGGTGGACAACCACAGGACCTCCTCTTCCTCCTCACACAGCAGGGCCAAAAGCAAAGCTAGCAAACCTAGTCCGGCCTTTGAGGCGCTGGTGGTCGACGATGATTTGGACGATCCTTTAGAATGAGAATGTAATCTGAATGTACTCGTCTGCCGACAACTGCAGAACCCTTGGGCTAGATTGTTATGTCTCTCTGCAATGAGTTTTTATTTGACTTTTATTCCTTCATTTACAGCCCTTTTTTACTACTAATTGGATAATGTGAACGTTTAGGATGGGATTTAACATTTAGAAGGCTTTTGAGCTTTCTTTTTTAACCACCTATAGCACCTAAAATTCTTTTTGTTTTTAAATTATTTTACAGTTTTATTTCTCATTATAATCATTTTACTGAACTCTTCAGCACTTAAATATGTATAATCTAATGTTTCCCTTTGAAAGCAACAGTCCCTCCGACCAAATTACACTAACTACTTTAGCACGAGATTCATTATCTGGCCTGTAGTTTATTACTGCCCTGTTATTTATCACAGTCCCACAGTTTTCCCTAAACAAGCTGTACAATCTTTCAGTCCGTTCACAGATCACTTCCGCTCTATTAGCCTCGACACTGTCTTTATGTGGGGTCGATATACTGTAAAACCAGCTGAAAAATTCCCATACGAAGCCCTTAAAACACTTAAAGCTATTTGCACACTTTAGCTATTCAGTCAGCAGCTGTTTCTTAATTTCATTATCGCATACAAAAAGGTTAGTTTGAGAAGCAAAGATAGATGACACGATGAGGAATGATATGATAAAAACTTAGACCCCCACAGAATCAAAGGCCTCATTCTCTTCCACTCAAACATCTAGCCCAAGTGAGGTTTGGACCGTAGGTTTTTACAAATAGTAATTGGACTTTGCTTGCAATAGTGCCTTCATCTGTCAGTGTGTGCTTTAAATATGGCCATCAAGATGTCCATGCTTGTTTGTTTGTCATTTCTGTTGATGTCGACATATCCATGGGTTTGTTTTCCCGCTGAAGGTGCCTGTCAGCTGTCACGTGTCACAACCGACCATCCATTCATCCTATGTGCCAGTGACTCCGCTTCATCCTTGCAAGCAGGCCGCTCTGTGTAAATACCCACGGTGTGACCACAGTACGATTTGTGTCTCTCGGCTGGTCAGTGTGTCCGTTGAAAAAAAAAGGAGACGTGATTTAGGAAAACAGAAGGGGAATTTGCATGTGGTGGAGAGCGTTGTGAATTTTGAATCTGGATGTGCTCTTCTGCTGTTCCCTCCTCTCCCATAATTCACCAATCTGTCCAGACCAACTCTATCTGTACAGCTCTGCCAGCCGAAAAAAAAACAAAAACAAAAAACAACCAAGCCAGGCCTCAAATCCATACATGCGGAAGACACTCTGAGCACATCCTGCCATATTGCTTTAAATGTGTTTTCCCTCTTGTGTTTGTGATAAATATTTAGAAACAAACAAAAAAAAAAAAACTAAAGATTGAGTTGCCATAAATGATTTGCAGGCTTTGAGTCCTATAAAGCACTACTCTATTGAGTCAAACTATTTCTTTTTAGATCTCACAGCGTGTAGAGCTCAATTTTGGGGCCTGGGTTGGTTTTGTTCCTTGCATTTGGTCTATGATGTGATTCTTGTCGCCGTGGCATTTTGCTGAATGTATAGCATGTTCAGACGTACGGGGCCCAGAGTAAAACTATGTCTGTGAGTATTTGCATGTGTGGTGACCGTTGAAAGACTTGATGTAACTCTCAAATGTAGCATTCTGAGAGACGAGGGTAGCAGCCTGCCCATCGTACACCCCTCAAACGCTCCTCGTCCTGAGTGGCCTCTGTTTACAAAGCAAGCCAAAGTCTGCATCCTTCGTTTACTGTATCAGACAAAATAGTAGAACACCTTATAACAGTGTGGCGATGTGAGATATCGAAGAGAAGTATTTTTTTACAGGCATTTCATACCTTCAGGTTCTCTGTCAGGGTAGTGTAGCCACCGCCAGTGGTGTTTTGTGGGCTCTCTTACGGTTCAGACGAATTTCTGAAGACAAGTGGCGAAAGCATATATTTTTAATGGCCTCTTTCTAGACTAAAAAACATAACTGGAGACGTTTGAGTTTTGATTTAATAGATTTCATTTAATGTTATAACACAAGAATAGGCTTAAGAAGAGCAAGGTTTCATTAAAAATGAACATTTTGTCATAATCTTTATTTATCTCCAAACCTATAAGATATATTTTTTTTGTCCATAGAATGGAAGACAATGGGGTCAAATGATGTTGTTTTGGACCCCATTAAAAAAGAAAAAAAGAAATCTTAAAAATATCTTCTTTTGTGTTAAGTATAAGTCATACATGTTTGGAGCGACATGAGGATGAGTAAATGATGACAGAATTTTCATTTGTGGATGAAACTACCCCTTTGAGTAAGATTAGAATCTACATATAGAAATATTTTATTAAAAATCTATCTGGAAAAAAAAATCAGAAATCTCTGTTGCTTTTAAAGATAGCTACTATTTGTTATTCGTCTCTGAGAAAAGGTACAGTGTTTGTACTTTGTGATCTATCTTTCCTGCTATCATAGTTTGTTTGGTATTTGTTCAGGAAATGTGGAGATTGGCTGCCCTTGCAAATCTGATCTTTGTTTCTTCTGTATATTTTGGTATGAAGTGGATGTATTCTGGTTTCAATGATTTTTCTAAAGAATCTATTTATTGTTTCTTCTACTTGTGGTTTTGCTCTCCCGTTGCACTGTGTAATGAGATGTTAATATTGCTTCCATGCAACAATGAAAGTCATTTATTGCAGATCAGATAAGCGTGACTCTTGATTTTCCTTTCGCTTTAAGGCTGTCTCACACAACCCGGAATCAGAAGTAATAAAACTCCTCACATGGGTGGCTTATGTAAGCATTGCATTGCAGGCCCGCTCTGTTTCCTGTGGCGTGGAGCGGTGAGCCTAGAATAACAGCGATCCGAGGGTCGTACCTGAGCACAAAACAAACATGGTCATACTGGGATGGGCTATGCCGCTGGCTATGCAGAGGAATGAGATGAACAGATCAGGACGTACTGTTCCATTATCATTGCTGCAATGGTGGTCGATGTGGTACAATATGGTTTGGAGATCTCAAAACATGTTGTTATGTTCAATTCATACAGATCAGACCCTTCTGTCTGTATGGTGCAGGCATCGACACAACCAGAAGCACCCTCCTTTTGTGGCAGGGTCTTCATAAGTGTTATTCCTATGAGGCACTCATAGGACGTCATTTGTGTCATCTCTCATCAGCCTGAATCAAATTTAAATGTGATGTCCTTATATTGTTTGTCGTCATCTGTTTGGGAGGAAGCCTCCCCTTTTCCTGATGCAAAATATCCTGGTGCTGATCCTGGATGAGATGATGCTGTGTGGTAAATGGTTATATTTTCCTGATATATTTAAAACACATATTTAAAAAATATTATGCACTTTTAAGCTTATGCAATACCCAGTAGTTGCTTTATTACTCGCACTAATCCTTATGCAAAAGGTGATATCAACTCACTGCACAAATAATCCGACATTTCCTGTAAGAAGCCATTCGGTGTTTTCAGAACATTCTGGAAACTGCTGATTTTTCTGGTCAGTTCAAGGTCTGTCTCATAATCAGTAACAATTTGTACTAGAGTATCAGGTATATACAATGTTATCATTTTTATGCTCAGTAGTATCAGTTTTCCAAGGAAAAACCAGACAAGCTAAAAATACCACATTAGAATATGATTACTTGAATAATTTTAACTAGTAAATGAAGTTGTCATGTTTGTTCAAATGGAGATACTTTCCTGAGTTATAAAGAACATTAAAGGGCCATGAAACGCCTTGTTTCAGCACAATCAGTTCTCGCCAGTTTTAAAATTTGCTCAAATTGGCCTTTCTAGTTCATGAAAATGTCACATCCTGTTGATGCTGACTTAAAAATACAAATCCGGTGTTATGAACAATCAGGTCCCCTCTCACAAATGGGTTGCCACTTTTTGTAATTGTATCTTGTTTGCTATCGGTTCTCTGATTTTAGCACTACTGTGGCTGTTGAAATATATATTAAATATATAAAAAGTGTAGCTTCCCATTTTATTATTTGCATGATCTTAACAAATGATCAAATATGATAGATTTATAAAGCTAGCAGGCTAACAGGCTAAAGGTATGCTAAGCTAGAATGCTAAGCATTTAAAGCAATAGACATTTAATTTGACAGTCTATAGCTTTGTGAAATCATAAGCAACATAATTGTAAATGCAATTGCAGTCATATTCACACAGTTAAAGCAACATTTCATAAGCCAAGTGTGTTTCTTACCAGGGACTCAATGTGGCTAAGGCGTTTCAGCCAGTGGAATCAGGCCTACCCATTTATGCAGGAAGACTCATTTGTTCATGACACAGGATTACTAAAATTGGCCAAACATTCCTAAATGATCTAATTTAATCTTTAAATAATTTCTATTATGTGCAGCATAATTTACAACATAATTATTGTTTGTTTTTTGTTGTTTGTTTGTTTCGTGACCCTTTAAAAAGGAAACGCTAAACCTTTTTTTCTCCAGTTATAAACAGGAATGAAGGCTGGATTAACATCATGACATTCAACTTCCTGTTTCTTGCTAGTTCAGGTCAATTTCTGCATTTCTTTCTCTCCCTCTGCTTTTAGGTCATCATTTGCATATTTGGAAGAGAAAAATACTATAAAGACCGATGCAATTTTTCAATTCATTGAATTTCCTTCACCCCAAACTACCTCTAACTAAAGACTGAACGGTGAAGACCTTCAAATTCGAAGCAATATTTGACATTTAAAATGCACCCCTCATAAATCATACTTCAGTGATTAAGAAAGTGATTTAATTTTTTCACATGATGTACAAAAACATTCACTTGTTGCTTATATCCTCAGTATTCAGCCATTTTCGACTGTATGCCTAGAAGTGTAACAGGAAACATTCAGTTCAAGGACCCCAACCAGAAAACAAAACCAGAGTATAAATCTTCCTTCATGGCTGATTGCGACCATTAACCTTTAATCTGCCCGTCATGGTTGGCCATCAGTCGTAATGGGACGAGCTTCTCGTTAGACATGGAGAAATCGATACACGTACATGTCTTGGGCGCCTGAATTGTATGTGTGTCTCAAGTGCTTTTAGTGAGAATGAATGAGAGGTTTAAGGATGATGCACTGCACCTGCCTGGGCATCTGACAGCAGATTTTGTGTTTGACAATTAGACAGTCATGTGAAAAGCAATTTGGTTCATTTTACCAGCAGGGTTTTATTTATAAAAATGACGCAACCTATAATCAAAAAACATTTTCACAGACATTTTCACATGGTAAACATTGTTTATTACAAAAAAAACATCATAAAAACTGCATACAAGTATTACAATAAATAATATTGCTAAATGGTAACTGCTTTGGTGCAATTTGGCTTGGGCGGCTATTCTGAAATCAATCAAAATGAAAAGATAGCTGTACAAACAGACTGAAAAAAACGGAAAGATTTAGAATAAAAACAACATCTTGGTAATACTGTTAGTATCCCACTATAAAAATAGGACTTAAAATGACACATTGTACTGAAGACCCTTTGAACAATAAATCCTTCAGTGCGGTTACTTCTGGTAACCCTGCTGCTGAGTCAAAGGGTTAGAGTTCAGCTGTACGATAACTATCCAAAGAGTCACCACTGTAGATAGACATAGTTGAAACAAGAAACAGTGGAGACAGGGAAGAAAGAGACGAGGGATCTGATCTGAGCAGTAATCCCGAAGCTCACACGTGAGCACTTTTGGCGTGGTTAGTGGAGGGCTGGCCAGGATGGGCGGGGCCCTGTTTGGAGTAGTAGAATCTGTTGTTGTCAGTGTATGTGGCAGGGGTGTCCACTGAACAGCAGGTGATCATACAGCCTCCGAGCAAACAAAGTGCAGTTCCCACCCAGCCAGAATACAGGGAGAAGCCAAATGACATCAAACCTCTCTCGTGATGGGCTCCGATGGGAAACCACACAGTGGAAACGATGCCACAAAAAGCTGAGGAAGAAAAGACACACTATTAGCAAACAAATATTCTTTTTTATTATTATGGTTATATTTTGCATTAAGCCACAATGGCCCAGATCCGGGCCACATCCGGTACATGCGGACTCCACGCGTATCAGATGTGGCCCGAATCTGGGCGGCACTATGTTGCTGTCTGGGTGAGCAAGAAAGATACACTCAAAGAGTTAAACAATAGAAATCATGCATTCTATGGGAACAGTAGGCCTTTTTTAAAGCGTAATATGACCTTAATTTAAGAAATAAAAATAAGAGTCTTACCAGTCAGCATTATTAGGATTCCACCAAACACTGATCGTTTGTTCTTGGCGCTTTCTGGTTCACTTCCAAGGTTAATACAGGACATGGACATGAGCACGAGCGCTACAGCAGGCAATCCGAGAATCGATGCTGTGACCATTAGTGCTCGAGACGTCTGGATGTACGCTTGAAAGAAAGAACAGAATAATTGAATTCTCGAATTCACAGTGATAATAAAATTCAATGAATCATATTGTAATTTAATGATTTATATTATAAAATATATTTATAAAAAAAAAAAAGTTGTTTTGAATAGGAAATAATTTATATAATTTATAGATAGGCTAATGTAAAAATACTATAGGTTTAATAGCTACATACTATATGAAAATCTAATTTTATATTTAAAAACATAATCAGATTTAAATTTTTAAATAATGTAACCAATTAAATTTGTGAAATAGCCTATTGCATACTTATTTTGTACATGACCAGCTATATTTCATTTTATTTAATAAAGTAAATATTATGCTGCATGTGTATTAAATATTGGAAACTGAATTGAACCCGTTTTCATCTTTTCTCCTAAAAGAAGCTAGAACATTTTTTGTTATTAATAAATGATATCACACGTACCTGGTAACTCGAGGATCTGCGTGAGTGTGCTGCAGTGATACAAGGCAGTTGAGATCACACAGTCTGCCCACAAACCTTTTGCCTCCAGTTCATCCATCTTCTTACAGGTGTTCATGTTATATTTACAAGTAACTACCCATTCGTTAGTGGCAGTGGCGATGATAAGCCCAATCCAACCAAGAAAACTCATCACAAAACCCGTGAACTGTACGCAAGCATTTGCCATAGTGTACAGTGTGCGCAAAAATGTGTCCAACAGAAGAAAAAGTCCTCTTGAAATTGATGATAATCAGATAATCTAAAGCCAGGCAAGATACTTTCTCGGAATTTATAAGTGGTAAAATCCAGATATGTTAATCCATTGCTTAAAAATCATGATGAGTTGTAGAATCCTATGGAGCGCAGTAGACTATTCCAAGCTGACAATGAGATACCGTTAGCAGAGCTTTTATAGTGGAACTAAAGACACAAAAGAACTTTCAACCAATCACATGAGTTGAGACAATGAGACACGTCCCAAGGTTACTCCTTATCTCTTGTTTTTCACTCTCCTCTTTTCTCCTTTCATGTCCATAGTAGCCTATGGAGTGTTAATGCTTAGGCCTATTTAGTGTGTAAAATTGACGAAATGACTCATAAGTTCACCAGATATTTCAGAGAAATATTTTCTCAAGTGGCTCTGACAGTGCAGCACCTCTGATTGGATTTTTGTTATATGCTGCCCTCTGTCGGTTGAAATCTCAATTCATGTCCATCATTTAGTAATTAGAGAGAAAAAATATATCATGTAGCAGCCTGTGACTCAATAATAAAATGCAGAAATCACGTTCAATATTGCCAAGATACTTGAGAATACCTAACCTCATATGGATAAACAGTTTTACATTTATTTTCAAATATAGCCTACAAAAAATGTATAAAGAAAATATATTGATAAGCCTAATAAATATATTAAAATGTAAATGGTATATGATTTTCATCTAAAATACATATAAAAAAACATTTTCGCGAGAATAAAAACATGCTTTTTTCAGTCCGCTGTTTTTACTGTTTTTCTGTGTCTCTAAAATATAGGAAGGCTACTTTAAAGGGGGGATCCAAAGAGCTGACTCAGATATCACTGCCAGCTTGGATGTTGACATTTGAAAGCTGCAGACAAATCCAAAAGAATAAAGTCCTGATCCTATGTGGTGCCTTGGTTGCTAATAGAAAATAGGTTCCTCTTTGTAGAACCACCCTAAATTAATTGTTTGTTTTTTTTCTGAAGCCTAAGGGCTTTTGAAAAGAATCATGATATGAACATGAACATGAGACAGGTATTTGTAATGTGCCTTGTTCAGTTCTTGATTCCACACTAGCGCTGCTGGAAAAATTCGTGAATCTTTTATATGTGACATTTGGTGATGTGCAGTACATTCTCTTGGGGCTTTTTCTTGGTAAAGAATGTGATATGCCATGCTGACATTAAAAAGTCCACTTAACAATCAAATAACGAATTATACCATGACAAAAAGTTTGTCTGCATAAGGTAAGAAATTAGTACCGGTGTGTCTCTCACTCATCCACTAGGGGGACTCGTGTGACGTCAAACACCAAGGAGGCCTATACGTGCAGCCAGTTATTAATAATAATATCTAGTAATACGGGTTTTTTTTTTTTTTTGTAACTATGACGTAGTTCCAGGTCATATTATTGCAGTTATTTCAAAGTTCCAGAGCCAGCCTACAACAGCAGATTAACCAAAATCCACTGATATGAAAAATAATTATGATAAAATGATAACAATTTCCATGAATATATAAATAAAAGTGTCTTTAAAAAGTCTGATAAATGCTTAAATGACAATCCAACCTTGTTTATGTTGACCTCTTCCAAATATTCTGAGCGTGTTCTAATCTAATCTTTAGTTTACACTTCATTCCTGCCAGATCAGCCTCATTGTTGTGGAGACGTTGCATAACCTGAATAACAATAGCAATTTTACATTCATTTCAGGAGTCCTCCCACTCTTTGTCTAATCAGGAATGAATTAGGTGGATACCATCTGGTATTTCCTGCATTCATGGCTGTTCATTGAATATGCAGGACTTTTTTTGTTTACCTTATTAGACCCCTGCTTGCGGGTGTAATAAGCTGTCAGAAACACTCTTGTTCCTCTATATCTGTCATTCAGTCGATCCTCGAGGGGCTGTAGAAATCACCTCACAAAGATCTCAGGCAATTCATCATTTGCTTCAGGAACATGGCAGCATTGGAATATGAAAATTAACCTAATGAAATGGGTCCTGAGACTGGCCTGACAGTGCAAGATGATCAAAATGTATTGCATAAGTGAGTTGTGCTGCGTAAGCACTCAGGGTGACCAGGACATCTTTATATCACCCGAGGAGGAGACATGTGATCAAATCATTGAGGCTTTTATCTCTATCACTGAATTACATCCCTCATATCATGCCTTTTATTATGGACAGCATGGTTGTGAGCAGCTGAGAGACATCAATAGCTTGTGAATATTCCTCTGGCAGATAACTTCAGTCTTGATTGATTTTAGGGGCCTTCAAAACTGCTGTTATTGACTTGACAATGATGTGGGTTTTATCTCTGATGCAGTGTTCAAGTTCACCATCTTCACCAAGAGCATCTAAGTGTGATTTTTAGTGCACTAGAAAATGTCAACCATAAAGTGTCAATATCAAAAGCAGCATCGCCAGTCATTGAGGAGATTTATTAAACCATCATCATCATCGCTCATAACGTTGATCTGAATGCTACTGGCAATTCATCTATGGTTTAGAGCACATTAGTTTAGCCTCTATTTAAATGAAACGACATTTAGACACTAGGAGTCCTTCTATAAATAAATGTGTAATTTCATGCACTGTCTCTCATTATATTCAAATGTATTCTCTTTTGTGAGGGATGGTGCACTAGCATTTGCTTATTGTGTCTGACCTCTTCCCTCCTGAAGGTTATCTGAATTTTTTTCACTAATGTTATCTGACTCTTTTGGCACACATATTATGTTACAAGCAACAATGGTGGACATTAATGAGTGTGTTTGTTTATTTATTAATTAATTTGGTAACACTTTATTTTACAGCATCCTTACGTTACACAGTATGACTAAATTACATGCACCTAACCCTAAACCAAACTCCAATCTTTAACCCTATAGTAAGTACATGTAGTTAACTATTATTACATTAGGCCAGGCCTACTTAACGTTACAATAGCTACAAGATTTTAATTTTGGGGATCTTTCACTACATTTCAAAGCACAATACTTTACTTCACTTCATATATTTAATTTAAAAACAAAATGTTTGTGACATTTGATTTGTGAACAATTCATTCTTAAGAGCAAATTTTTTTTCTTTTTTTTTTTTCCAAATTTCCAAATTAGGGCGTGGCTTCTCCTATTGACTGACTGACACATGACATGCATGTGTGATTCCCCCCAAACCAGTTCAGTGCATAGTCGATTTTAAATGTAAAAAATGTTTAATTGGTCATTTTAATCCCAGTGCTTATTTCTATACACAGTGCTACAACAAGTGCTAACCCCTAAACCATACACTTTTGTCTGTAACTCCCCAACCGGACCTCACCAGACAATGGGACCCAGCGTCACTACCCTCTTAAACCCTGTGAATCTCAAGCGGGTCGAATCTCGATGCCCCCGTCACTTAAAACAAAGCATTAATACAACTTTCCCACATGTACAAAAATAACTTTATATTTGACATGAAACAGAAATTGTCTATTTACAAATTTATATTTTGAAATGTAAGTCAATGACAAGAGCGAGAACCAGTGGCGCAAGTCTTTGCATGTGTAGACCCCGCCCCCTTTTGAAGGAGTTTATGCCCCACTTTGGAGATCTCTGGTCTGCACCCATACCTAGCTACTTGAAGACTTAGTGTGTGATATTGTTTCCCCCTAAATCAGTTAAGTGGAAACTCTCAAAGATTGCATTGGTCATGTCAATCATTGTGATGATGCCTGCAAAATACTATACAAATACTAAACCCTAAACCTATACCTCACACCTTAACCCTTAACGAAACTGGCTGCAGAGCGGGATTTGCACTAAACAGGTTTGGGAAATCCCTAGCTGAGGGATAGAGGTGTTGAATTAAGAGAGAATAAATGTTGAAATTAAGTCAAGCGTTATCTTATGTTTTTTATTTTTTTAGAAATTTGGAAAAGGGGAAGACTTGATAGTGTGTAACAGTGTTTAAATGTTAAATTACATTGGAATTATTAAACAATTTAAATTACATTGGGTAAGAGTGGAGTGTTTTGTTTGGCTGTTGACTGATTTCATTATTTTCTATTGCTTTGGATGAAGGCGCATGTAAATCTTAGCATTCAAGATGCTAATATGTGCTACTGCTAGCAAATAGTCTATCACTTTAATAAAATGTCACTGAATTAAATGAAATATAAATGGATGACTGAATATAATAAAATGCCTGAATCATGTCAGGAAGCCTTTAAAAATCCACGTTGAGACTACTTATATATCGAATTAATTTATATATTGGGAAATTTAAAATTGCTTAATTCCATGATGTTAAAGTGACATGAACAAATTATGTTTGTTTAACGAAATTCAGTTATGTGGAACCTGTTGACGAAAAAATAATAATAATTAAAGCCAACATATAATTTTTTGAGCGGTTGAATCTTTCTCCATTGACAACCCTCGGCAGATTTCTCCTTCACTCCAGTCTGGTCAAAAACAAAATGTTTGAATTAGATTTTACCTTTTAACAACATGTCACCTTTTTGTTTCCCTTTACTTGGCAGTTGGCACCCAGCTCAGGATTAGTAAAGAAATAATTTGGCATATTGATTTACAATTCACAGTGGGCAGAGGGTAGGACTCAGTCGCAGCCAGCTCCCAAACACATCATGATCAATGCGCTACACTAGTGGCACCCACCAACCCGCGGAGAGGCATCTGAGTCCTAATGAACACTAACTACGATTCATTGCTAATGGAGGGCACAGTGGGCGTTTAGAGGCAGACCCTCAGGATGCACTTTGCAGCTTTCACCGTGGAGTCTGTGAGCACTCATATGTGTGTTCATCATTCTCTCAAAGCCTCAGATTTACTCCTGCCATCCTCCACTGCATATTATGAAGTGATTTGTTTCGCTCAGCACATGAGACAACAAACCGCTGTGAATCTGCCATGGATAACTAAACAGTTATTCCAGGGTCTATATCCTCTTCTGCTTAACATTCACATGTCTTATTATACATCTCTGCCAGCAGGGAGTGGATAAACAAATTGTCATCGTTTTTTATTTGTAGGAAAATGTTTTCTTTGCAATTCATTGTTCTAACGTCTTCTACAGAGGCACTGTAATCTGAGAAGATCCTACCAGGCTTTCACCGTGAAGGTTTGGTTGTCTGTTCACTTTGA